ATATATATACAGGATATATATATAAATGTGTATGTGCATGTGTATGTATATCTATATGCATATGTATGTTTATATATGATGTGTGGGAATATATATACACATATGCTACTTACATTGAAGTACGACGCAAATATACACTTTCTGACATTTTGCAACCTTCATTACCCCAGCGGTCCCAAATCAGTACGAGGGCTCACCTTTGCCCTCAGAATTGGGTGTGGCTAATATGACTATGGATACCGCTGAGAGCACGTTGCTAAGCAACCAGTACTCCCACCGGTACTCTCCTGACGGCCATCGATTGTTCGACAGACTCGGCCGACCCTGGTTTATAGACATCGATGATGATATTGTGGACACGCGCGGCGAGACAGCTGCTGCTGGTAGGGTTATTTGCATATTTTACACTCGGTGTATGTAGTGTTGTACACACGCAAATGTATATATATATAATAATATACATATATATATATATATATATATGTGTGTGTGTGTGGGTGTGGGTGCGGGTGTGAGTGTGGGTGTGGGTGCGGGTGTGAGTGTGGGTGTGGGTGTGGGTGCGGGTGTGAGTGTGGGTGTGGGTGCGGGTGTGAGTGTGGGTGTGGGTGTGGGTGCGTGCGTGCGTGTGATAATCGAAAATGTTCAATGATTACTCACTTATGATCGCGCTTGTTTTGCATTAGGTGTTCCTGCCTATCTGGATAGTGGCAGCATGTGCCCTAAACTAGACCCAGGAAATAATCTTCAGACTGATGATAAGGTATGTTTATTTACAACATGTGTATTTACGACATTTATATTTTACGACATCGGGGTCAAGCACAACCTATGTGATCGTCCAGAATAACTTGCTCGCTTGTACGCTGATTTGGTTCTTGTTTGTAACAGACATCCCAATATCACACGACGTATACTGTGGTGCAATAATTGTGAATGACTAATTCTGTCAATCCGATTGTCTGTCAGAGTACTCGGTTCTGGTCCACTTTCACTCATACCCATTTAAACTAGATGAGGTGCTGGAGATTAGTGTACAGTAAGTTGGTTTAGTGAAAGGTATTGATGTGTAGACCTAAATTGTTTTTGGTAGGACCGGGTGCACCTATGACAGTGTGTTGGGGCTGTTTGGCCAACTATTCAAACCTGCGGGTATAGGCCTCGTGCTTCGAGAGGTTGTGTTCATTTCTATAGACGTATGTGTATATATACATGATGTACACTTGCCCTTGTCCATATACATATCTCTAGCCTAGACGTGTGTGCATATATACACGTATCTGAGGTATCCTCCATTCACCTCAACAACCAATATCTCACTGCCAGGGACAAGTATATATTGATGCGTATTGGTCTGCCGTCAGCGATCCGAACGGGGACTGGACAATTAACGAGGAATCGGCGGCTGTGATGGCCGGCAATGGGTATACGCCACACACAGGGCCCCAGGGAGAAGCCCTATTTGACAGTGGTGAGTACTATTAGCGAGCTGTGCGGTTGGTTCTGTGTGCATATAAATATGTATATATCTATGTATGCCCAGCGACGTAAGGGTTGTAGGGTTAAGGTTTAGTATGGAGGGTTTGTACGCATTTGTTAGAGTTTTAGGGTTAGTGGTTTTAGGGTTTAGGGTTTTAGGACATCTGTAGATGCCTTGATGTTGAGTTTAGGGTTAGCGGCCAGTGTAACTTCACGCGCACGAACACACAACACACTTGGTATTTTCTGAGTTGTCGTGGGCATGTACAGATTCAGAGTTCATTCTAGGGCTTCAGGACAATACCCCCCCACACACAGTATCTAATTATATCCACCAATCAATTCGTCGTATTCTTCTCCGCAGCGGGTTCCGCCTTGTTTATGAACGCCGGCACCTTTGACGTGATGAACAGCTACGGTACCAAAGCAGCCGCCGGTCAAATCGTCTTCAACGCACACCACCTGCCCGTCAACAAGGTCGAGGGCTCGGACTGGGTGTACAATAACGGGATGCCGGTTTACATCGATGCGTTCTGGGCCGACGTTGTCATGACAACGGATACGCCAGTCATCTCCGAGGCTCGCTTAGCAAAGCTGGAGGCGGCTGGGTTCAAGCCCGTGCGCAGTCAGAGTGGGTTGGCTATGTACAGTGCCAGAGGTGCCCTGCTGCTTGTTGGTGCTGAGGGGGAGGTGTGTATTAGTTCAACCGATGTGTGCACTAATTCCCGGGGAGGGGTGAATTAGTTCAAATAGTACTGGCTGTGAACAGAGTTAGTGTGTGTATGGGTCTTTATCAGCTATGCCAGTGCACATATCCCAATGTGGCCACTTGGACAATTAGTGGATTGGTTTGGTGGGTCGTGAATCAGTTGTGGACTAGTACATATACCACACATGCTCAGTACCCCCTTCACACGTCCACTCGTCTGCCAACAGGTTAGAGACAGAACTGGTACTGAGATCGAGCCCAACTCCTTGGCATTTGACCAGTTCAACGGACCAATCAGAATGCTCGAAAGCGATCTGGTAACCGCAAAGTCGTCCATCACGGGCGAGAAGATGTTCTCGGATGCGTACGGAAATGGTGTGTCGCAAATTATATCTTGTTGCAAATTATATCTGTACTTATGATCTATAGCCACACAAACGCCCACAGTACAACCACACCCCACAGACTATGTGGTATGTTCTTATCTCTCGTATGCATTGACTCTTTCCCAATATATTGACACCTATTGACATGCTTTTAACACGCCCATGACATCTGTTGACATCTTTTTAACACGCCTAGTTTGACCAATAGCGCTGACTGACTTCTCCGACAAACCGAACACGCTGCAGCTCTTCGATCAAGTGTCACTTAAGTATCCGCATGGCATTTTGACACTTATTTTGACACTTATTGACACATTACTGAACACTCCTTCAGAGTTGATTGGGTTGGATGCCAAGCCGAACACACTGAAAGCCTATGATCTGCGAAGTATGGCCAACATTGAGGAAGCACAGACTATAGTCGAGTCGTTCGATTACACACCGGTGAAAAGCCTTGACAACACTCAGGTGTACGACGTGAGGGGTCTGCCTCTGTTCAGCAGCCCTACAGAAGACAGCTACATCAATGTAGTGGGCGAGACTTACCCTGTTGGTAAGTGAGCTTGTGTACGAACATATATATATATATATATATATATATATATATATATATATATATATATATATATATATATATATATATATATATATATATATATATATATATATATATATATATATATATATATATATATATATATATATATATATATA